CAAGGCCTGATTTAACTGCCCCATTCCTCCCTCCTCCTCTCCACCTCCCCAACCCCAAACAATGAGGAAATCGTACTATATTCCAGGTCTTTTCCTCTCTGGGTTTTACATGTTCTTTAACACAGGCAGTAATTATACGCCGTAATTCTGACACTAACGCAATTCCATTTCTCTCTCACATAATTGCATGAATGTGAACTCTCTATAATTACTGTGTTTAATTAGAAAATGAGGAGATCCAACTAATGAGGACAGGTGATAAAAACAACTGCGAACATTTCTTTCAAATTTACTTTATCACAAAAATCGCTCAGAGTCAGCTCTAGTGAACCACAGAAATTTTTTATAAATGTCACTGGCACCGATCTAAATGAATGTATTAGCAGAACAAGCACATCTGCGGAAGACTTCGAATGAGAACAACATCTTTCCCGCAGACTTGAGCTTAATTGTTAGCTTTGGTCCATTTAACTTGGAAAGGGAAATTACGGGTAACAAAGTTAATGCTTGATGTGGATTCCAAACATTAAATGTGCAACTCCCTCTTCAAAAGGGATCTTACCCGAAAGCCAAAATAAAAAAAAAAATAAAAACAGAAATAAGGTAGAGCTGTTCTAGGAGCAAAGGCATATGAACTCTGCCCTCGTCACCCCAAAGAGCCCCCTAGACAGGCAGGGAGGGGAAGATACAGCCATTTCAGGCCACAGGTGTCTTCCAAGAAGGGTGGGGTCTGTGAAAGGAAGCCTGGCCCTGCAGACCTTCCGTGTGTAGAGGAGCAGAGAGCCTTGGAGCTAAGCCCTGTGTGGGAAGAAGGCCCCTAAAGATGTTAGGGTGCCTCCAGAGGAAGCGGCACAGCGGGCGAACTGGGGTGGAAAGGCAGAAAAGAAGGGAGGAACAGCAGGATGGTAGGAAGTGGCCAGCAGTCAGCAAAGGAAACTTTACTAAATTCTCTCGTCACTATCATATAACACCACCCCCAGGCGCCTCCCCCAGGTCCTGCGCAGTTTGTTACTGTCACAAAGGCTGGTAAGGCCAGGTGTTTTTGACATCACAGGAAGGGCCTCCATGTTTGTAGTCTGGGGGGATGTGACGTGGACAGGAGCAGCATGTGTGGGACTAAGAGGTGATCAACAGCCCGGCAGGCGTGGCTCAGCGGTTGAGCATTGATCTATGATCCAGGAGATCGAGGTTCAATTCCCGGTCAGGGCACATGCCCGGGTTGCGGGCTCGATCCCCAGAGCGGGGCGTGCAGGAGGCAGCCGATCAATGACTCTCTCATCATTGATGTTTCTCTCTCTCTCTTTCCCTCTCCCTTCCTCTCTCTGAAATCAATAAAGACATATTAAAAGAGAGAGAGAGGGAGATATGCTCAACAAACTGAAATAAATCAATTGTTAAGCCGATTCCAGAAGTTAATAAGTATAAAGTGCTTAGAACAGTGTCCTGCTCACAGTGCAGCTGGTACGTACTTGTTAAAATAAGTAAATAAAGTCTGCGATAGAGTCCTGACAGCTGGCCCAGCCCCCCGGGCCAAACAGAGGAGCTGGTTGTCACGGGAGCAGCAGTGATCTCCCCAAGTTGTAAGGCCAGATTCATGCACTATGCTGACTAGAGGCCCAAGACTATAATATCCTTAATGATAACTACTACTTATATTTCCATCTTTGTAACCTGAGGAGCTAGACAAATGCCTGGAACATAGTAGACAGCCAGTGAAAATTTGCTCAATGAATAAATGAATAGATAGATGTCTTTTGAAAAATGTATTCATTTAAAATTTTTTTCCCGTTTTCAAAGGATATAGCATTATTTTAATCACAGCATCACTACATTTTTTAATCTTCATATTTGTTTCTAGCTCTGAAGGAATTCTTGGAATCTTAGGAGTACCAGTTTGCCAACCTTGCTCTAAACTTAGCCCTGATCCTGCCCAAACGGCTGACAACGTTTTTAAGGTCACGATCAGGAAGTGATAGTTTAGTGCCAGCTTATCTCCACTGGTAGGCAAATAACTCAGATATGTTTTGCGTACAGTAGGTCAGAAGCGGTATTTCTGGGTACAAAGGACAGTAGGCAGACCCTATGGCTCTACCTTCAAAATCTATCCACATCACGACCACTTTAACCAGTTCCCCTGGCACCGCACTGGTCCAGGCCACCCTAAGCTGTCACCAGGAGTCTTGCAACGGCCCCTGAACTGGGCTCCCACGTCCACCTTTGTCCTGTAGTGTCTCCTCTCACCCCAGCAGCCAGATGGCTTGTTAAAACGTAGGTCAGATTGTGACCCTCCTCTGCTCAAAGCATTTCCATCCATTGGCATCCAGTCCAGAAACCGATGTTTCAAAGAGAGGGAATATGTATTCCAGGGAGTTGATGACAAAGATTATTACCGCAGGAAGCCACTCCCCCCGTCGGGCTGGAGGAACAGGAGGGAAATGGTGTTGCATCCAACCTGCCTGCAGCCAGAGCTGCCCGAGCCCCACTCCCAGCGGCTGCTGCCACCAACGCAGCTGCCCTGTGGGGAAGGCCGCCAGGATCCTCATTCGGGGAAAAAGGGAGACCCTTCCTCCCACCTTCCAGCCCTGCCAGTACCTCCCAGGGGCAGAGCCTAACAGGAAGCCCCGAGCCAGGGAGTCTGGGGAACGTAGTTTGCAAGTCTCCTGCCCCAGCAGTGAGAGGAGGGTCTAGAGGAGAGGCTGTGGGCTTGACAGGCCCCATCCAGAGCAGCACCTCACGCACAGTAAAACCCAAGCTCTTGCATGACTTCCAAGGCAGGCGACCCCTCAGCCCACACCAATGCACCCGCTTTCTGCCCTGGCTCCCCGACACTTGTCATGTTACTGCGCCCCAGCCACACCGGCTCCTCTGCTGCTGGTTGCACCTGCCAGGCGCTCCTCCCTAAGGGTCTAGCATTTGCTATTTCCTCTGCCTGGGATCATCTTACCCCAGATACTCTCACAGCTGGCTCCCTCACCCCCTGCAGGCCTTAATTTAAAGGCCACCTTCTCCATGACGCCTCCTTGAAGGCTAATTTAAAACTACAACCCCTCCCAACTCCCAACCCCCTTTATAGTTTTATTTTTTCATCACAGCATTTATTCTTTTCTAACACATTATACATTACATATAGTTTTATCATATAGAAATGTTTTTCTTCTATATTGTACATTTTTAGTTTTCCCTCTCTTACTATATATATAGTCAGCTTACCCCCTCCAAAACATAAGCTCCATGGGGAGCTTTTTTCTGCTGATAGAGCCCCAGTGCTCAATAAATACTAGTTGACTGAATAAATAAATATCATCATTCCTAAATGTATTTATTATGGAATGAAAAGTATTCAAGGCTCCTAAGAGCCTGGGGGAAGGGAAGGAAATGTTGCTACACCTCTACCTCTTCTGACCCCATGCAGGCTACGTTCTGTGTCCCCTCCATGTGCTTCTAAGGCTCCCTGTGACTCCCTGTCCCAGAACTTGTCGAAATACATCGTCATGACGTGTTTACGTATCTGTCTCCATCACTGAAACTGTAAGTCCCATGAGATACCAAAGGGGTGGTGCCATCCGGGTAACACCACACACCAAGCACCTGGCAGTACCGTCCTGCGTGTCCTGCGTGTCCTGCATGCCCTGCATGCAGGGCTCAAACAGTATCTGTTGTCGAATGTTCCCACCACAAGGCAGAAAAACACACTTAAAGGTCTCTCGCCATCATTCCTGCCTCCGATATTCTGGAAAGACATAAGAGTCAACCGCTGTGAGAAAACAGGGACATAGTCAGGAAACAGACGGGTACAGAAGCCAAGAAGGTTGGCAGCGGCTCGATCGCTCCGGCTAAGCGAGGAGCAGCGGAATCATCACGGCTTCGGAGAATATTTTAATCTTTTTATTAGAAGTATTTATACTGCCTGAAAAGTATTCCACGGGTGAGTTATTTTAAGAGCTGAATATCATAGGGTAACAAACAAATCTTGAAAAAATTAAGTTATGAGAACCCAAATAATTATCGTAGAAAAGCAACGCATCTCAATAGGTAACAGATTTTACAGTGTTCTTCTCAAGGGGACTGGGCGCGAGAGCTACAACGTTCATTAACAAAAGCATTTTTCTAATTTTGCTTTTCTAGGTTTGCAGGAGATACCTAGAAAATATCCACAGTCTTTTATGAAGAGATCGTATATCTTACACATAGAATAGATTTATTTATTTGGTAATAATTCAGGGGCTGGAAGAAGTCATATCACTCGAAAGTAGTGAAGCACCAAGTTTATCATAAGGAGCTTTGACTTGGCTTACATGCTCAGTAGCCTGGAGGCATGCAGACATGCCTCATCTCATCTTGTCCTAAGAAGGAGCACTGCTGTCACCTGCATGGGTTCCACCCGAGCCCATCACACAGGAGGGACTCGGGGCTTGGAAAGAAAGGCCTCCTCAGCCGGCCTATCTTCAACACGGAGCCCGTACCTGCTCTTTTTGGTGGCCTGCTAGTGCACTGGGCATCGGGCATCCCTTTCTTCTGCTGCTTAATTAAAATTTCAGTTTGACCAATGACGATTTGAAATGCATTCTAAGCAACAGGAATTCAGGTCATCAGAAACCTGCCTTTTTCATTCATACCTCCCTGCCCACATTTGCAAAATAACTCCCAACCAGAAAATGACTTCAACCTGCTGCCTGAAATGTACATTTATTTGTTCCCTAGCGCAAGGAGAAAACTGAGCTAAGTCAAGGGACGTCCACGCACACGTTCCTAGAAGGATAATTTGAGGACCAGTTCCAAAGCGGACTCTAATTCGAAATGCCTCTGCCACTTAGACCCACATGGAGATGTTATCAGCCTTGTGAAATGTCATCAAGTAACTGAGGGTTTGTGTGTTTTTGCCAGTGGTGGAAGTGATCACAGCCACTGTGGCTCCCTTGCTGGGAGAGGGAGGGTGGGGGCAGTTTATTAGAAATAACCTTAGAGAAGATGTGATAAAAGCAGACATTCAGAGCCACGGGCTATTGATTGCAAATCTGGCAGGGCTGCAGGCCATTCTCGTTGCAGGCAGGGCACCGCAGGGCCCGATAGGACTCCTTAAATCTGTTGGCCAGCATCGAGAACTTGCTGCCGTGGCACAGAGAGCAGGTGGCACTGCCCGACCCTCGGCAGTGAAAACAGTTGTCGTCTGGAAGCTCCCCCTCCTGCAAGAGACGGGTCAGGGTTTAGTTACAGCAGCAGTTCGAGTCCATGATCACATGCAGGTCATAACAGCACTGGGCTGCCGCAGAGGCCGGGGCAGAATATAAGGAAAACGCTTCTCACAAATGCCAGCGAGGGCACTGGCCAGGGGTGCGAAATAATCACAGCAAGTTTATCAAAGAGGGTTTCCCCGGGGACATCTCTCAGACAGCGTCCCCTGTTACCATGCCTCTCGCTCTTCATCGCCCTTGTCACCGCCTGACCCGTTATTTCTGTACATTCCATGAGGGCTGAGACTTAGCTTTCCTGCTGCCAGACTCTAAGAGTGCACACCTGCAGCCTGCCTACTAGGTGCCAGGTGTTGTTCTAAGAGCTTTCTTTCATGCATCAACCCATCTAATCCCCACAACGTCCCAGGAGACGGTGTAAGGCAGGTTTTGATCTGAGGCAGTCGAGCACCAGAGTTTATGCTCCTGTTGACACAGCCCCTCACTGCAGTTGTCCAAAGTAGATGCTCAAGAAAGATTGTTTTGTGTGACTGAGAAACTAGGTGGATGAATGAATCGATGTTGCAATCCTTGGGAGCTTAGCTCTGAATTATCGCAATACTTTATCTTTGTTCTCTTTGAGAACTGTGATAAGGCCCCAGGATTAAGAGCTCCACTCGAGTCCGTAGCCTGGGACTGAGGCCTACCCCTGACACCTATTGTGCGCCCTGCGTAGTTCCCTTAACCTCTCCAAATCTCCATTTCTTGACCTGTGAGCTGGGAGTGATAATGCTTTACCTCTGAGTAGCTGGAGTATTAGATGAGAGAGTATATGAAAATACATACTATATTACCTGGCATGTTGTGGGTTCTCTGGACGAGTTAGTTCACGCCTAAGCCTTGCTAATAAGCTCCAGTCTTTGACTCCCACCCTCCGGAAAATGCCCCCTTGTCGACTGTCATGCTCTTCCCCTAAAACACCTTAAGAAAACTGGCAATCTTTGCACCCCTGTGCAAAGACAATACAGAGACCTATAACCTTCTAAGAAATAAGGGACGATACCAGATCTATGCCAGGTGAGTCCAGCATCAGGTCCTGTCCATTCACCTTCAAATCCATCCAGTTCTTTCCATCCCACAGCCACAATCCTAGTCAGACACCTACCAGCTCTGGCAGGAATTCATGTGCACGCCTGCCTCCGGTCTTGGGGGCTGTTCTCCCACTGATGCCAATCTCATTCAGCTGCCTACAATTGCCACAAGGCACTCAAGAAACCTTTTCATGAACACTTGCCTTCCAGATATACTTCGGATTAAAACACAATCTCCTCAGCTGGTTTAAATGTTTAGTTCCATCTTTTATCAGGCTCTTTTTAAAAATATATATATATACATATTTATATATATAAAATATCCTCACCCGAGGATATTTTTTTCCATCGATTTTTTTAGAGAGAGTGGAAGGGGGCAGGAAAGAGAAACATCAATTGGTTGCCTCTGGCTCGCACCTCGACTGGGGCCGGGGATCAATCCTGCCACCAAGGGCCGATGCTCTAACCACTGAGCAAAACCGATCAGGGCTCATTATCAGGTTCTTGTCCTTAAGTCTCTCTCCATCTGGTCTCCAGGAACCTGTCCCTCCTCCCAACCCAGGCAACTCCCCCTATTTTCAAGTGTCAGGAGGCCGTGCCCACCCACACCTCTGGGCAGGAGCCCCTCCTGCGCAGCCCCAAGCATGGCAGGCCTCATGCTCTCCTGAAAGCTCCTGCTGACCAGACAGGACGCTCCCGGGTGGGCCTTTCCCCATCGCTTCCTGGGCATCCAGTGCGGTGCCAGGAGAACATCTGCTGTGCACATATTTGCCAAACGAGTAAACAAGCGACACAGTGCTGCCTAGAGAACCCTTTCCATTCTTAAATTCTAGGAACCGCCAACACAGCCGGAGTCCACTGGGCGGCTCCACCCAGCTAACAGCTTCTTTTACAACCTAATAATAAAAATAACCTCTGAAAAGGGAGGCATTAGATCTGAAAATAGCTCCGTTGTGCTGCACAGTGCCTAAGAAGGTATTAAATTTTATTCATTCTAGATTTAGGGAATGGAAGTGATTATCCAACTGACAAAAACCTAAATCACGTCTATGCACCCTTTTGTTAATATTTTATTGATTGTTGCCATACTTTCATATATTAACAACGCAGAAATTTGTTTTTTCCCTTAAAATATTCAAAATATATACATTTCCCAAAATGTTCTTAAAACAAATTGCCACAGTCCCTTTTTCTGCCAAATCCACATTTTTTATGTTTTACAGTTGATCCCAGTGAGATTTTAATGGTACAAATCAGTATTGTCAAAGAAAGTACAATAAAACCCTAACATAATGCTATACGTGGCATCTGAAAATTAGTTTGTATGGCATGCCAGGTCGTACAATGAAAGATTAATAAAATGGCCTTGGTGAGCCTGCTGTAGAAAACAAAACCAAAACCAAATCATCAATCACATTTTATCTGATGTGTCACTGGAGTCTTACCCTGGGTTACCACCCTTCTCCAGCCACTCACCCTCGACGTGTTCATTTAATTATTTAATGATTCATTAAATCAAGGATTTACCGAGTGAGCATCTACTCTCTATAAGGCAGGCAGGATATAAGTATCTGTCTTCCATTCTTATTATTTTTAAAAATTCTCAGAAAAGATTTAGCAAGAGGACTTAAACCATAGTTGTACAGCATAGTGTAGGTTCTAGAACTGACAACCCTTCCTGAACCACCCCATAACAGCTCCTTGAGCAAGGAAAGGGGCCTTGGCTTTCACTGCAGACTCCAAGGTTAGCCCTGAAGACGTAATCAGCACCAATTTAAAGGCTGCTTAGGAAAGCGGTTATGATCATGAGATTGGTGGTCAGGTGCACCTGGGTTTGACTACTGGCTCCGATGACCTCTGGCAAGTTCCTTGACTTCTCTGAGCCTTGGTTTCCCCAGCTATAGAAGGAGACTAATAATATCTACCCTGCAGAGTCCTTGTGAGCATGACACAGACTATGGCACGGAAAGCATCGGGCACGGCGCCTGGCAACCATGGGCCCTCCATAAACAGTAACTAGTATTAATATTATTTCTTTTTTGTTACTATTATTTCAAAGGCAAGATCACATAAAGCATACAGGAGCCCAGGTGATGCACGGCCTTGAATCCACGGAACCGGGGCCTGAGTTTCCCCTCCCGTGTTCCGCTGCGGCTCAATTCAATTGTCCCTCTGCTTTACTTTGCTAGTTATTACAGAGGTGCAGTGTGGCCCGGCTTTCAGCCTCGCCTGGCCCTTTCATCAAGGTCCCCAGTGCTTCCCCGCTCCACATAACACAACAAAGTGTCTCTCAGTCAGGAGGGGCTCCTTGGTGTCCTTTGACCCCTTTCTAGAATCAACTTGTCTGGGCACTTACTGCAGGAGGGATTGGGCAAACACGTAGCAATTTAAACCAGAGTTTAAAGGACAGGCAAGTGAAATATAACCTGTCACAGCAATTTCCTGCTGTACAGCTCTGTCCTGGCTGATGGCATTAAAGACAAGAAACGTGGCTCTGTCCAAACTGAGTTGAGAGATAATTGTCATATCAGGCCTGTTGTTGCTTTTGCATTCAGGGCTGCCGTGGGACCCGTATGTTAGCATTTCTGGCTCTCTTCTGATAACATGTGCTCCTACAAGTTGTAATACGGTATGACAGAGAACAGAATTAATGAGTGTTCAGCGGGCAGGAATGCTCCTGATGGCAATGCTTAGCTGCTAGGCCACGTTCTGAGTAGTGCTACCTAGAGAAGGCAAAGGGAGGACGCTTCTTACCAGCTGGGGCTTCGGTCCCCAATTCCAATATCCTTTCCACAAACATTTAATATTTACTGAGCACCTATTATGCCGGGTTCTGTTCTGGGAAGCAATGGAACTACTATGTTACACCCAACACGGTGAGACCAGGCATTCACCAAATAAATACAAGACTCCAACTGTGAGG